TGTCCTACAGGATGGAGTCTGCGTGTGTGTCTGAAAGAGAGGGGAGGAGTGAATTTTCTCTGTTCACAAATCCAACATAAAACCAGGACAATATTATTTTAATAGCACGTGCCCCTTCACACATCAGAACGCCTCATCTGTTCACACGAACCCAGAAAGAAAGTGTTACCCTGCAGAGCACTGTGGTGATATCAGGCTACATCCACGCCAGACATCAGCCTGTTAAGTGAGACTGTAGTTATCTGCCTTAAACTTCAAAGCATTTTTTCCCCCATTAAATAAAAGACAAACGATTGTCTAGTAAAACTAAGAGTATTCTCATATGGTTCGACTCAAGCAGCTGAGCAGGATTTTAAGTGAAAATGAGCAGGAATGTAATCACGGATGACTTTATGGACCGATGATTTCTGTTGTCAGTTTGTTTAATGGCCTTGTGGTGTGGACTGAGTCTCCTGCACAATTTTTTTTTTAAATTTAAAATCAAAAATAAATTTCAAAGTGGCAGCAGACCCAAAAGGCTGCAAATTAGCCTTTTATATTAGCTTCTGTTATTCTGTAACAACGTTACGTAAAGGTCAACCTGGGATTTGGGACATCTCACACTTGCACGATGGGCCCTAATTATCCATCTCCCACTCGTTTCAAACAAAACAGAGAACGGAAACAAAAACCGGACACTGATCTGAGCGTTCGCCCTCGCCCTCCCCACTGTGACACACTGGCACCGAATTACCCCTGCACCACTGCGAACGTGTGCGTGCATGTCGGGCTGTGAGTGTTAGTGTGTCTGTTACAGTGTAAATGATGCCCGTGTGTTTCTTTTCTCACATATTTTCTTCAGAGCTGCCAAATACCCCAAACTATCGACCCCTGACCTTTGACCCTGTGATATTTCACACGTCACTGTGGAAACGGAGCAAAAACAACTCGGGTGGCTGGCTGGTGTCCAGTCTGCTAATGCAGCTCTGAACACATGAGAGTGGCTCCACAAAACCAAAGGCTGGCTCTAATCAGTGTGATACATACGCACACAGACATGACGGCAGCGATCGCTGATAAGTGAGCTTCCTTTACTGTCAATGCAATGAAGTATTTTCATTTCCTTGTGTATTTACATGAGGTTTCATGTAAATACACAAGGTGCTGTTCCTGAAAACAGTTTGTTTAAGGGTGAGCTCATGCTTTGCCAACAGATGAATATAAAGCAGATGAATGGGATGACAGGCAGTTACTGGGTCCAACATATCTTTCCTTCTAAACGCCTTTAATGAGTCTATGGAAACATGAACCCCTGCCCTGTGGATTATGAGACATTACCCGAGAACACAGAAAGCAGTTTTATTGAAAACATCTCTGTTTCTATAGATTCAATTTGGATTTTCAATTCATGAAAAATTGCAGATAAAAGTTTGCACATGTGCAAAGTTCACGAAACACTTGTAATGTAAACTGCAACATGCTGAATCACAGTGCCAATATCCCCTCTGGGGCCAACATTTTCATTTAGAAAGTAGCAGCTGAAAACATATTTCAGCACAGCTCGTGGTACCTGAACGTGAGCGCTGCTTTAACGCCTCGTGATAAAAATAGAAATGGAATCAGAACATTTGCTTTATTCGCCTTTTCAGCACAAACAAATCACGTAGGTGCGTTGGGTTTCTGCACGCTTGCCACTCAAGGCCTCAGGTGAGATCAGGGGATTCTGTTGTTGCAGTTGTTTCCACAGATCGTGGGGGGTTAAAAAAAAAAGAAAGAATTCAAGTCGTGAGAAAAATTTGATGCTAAAAAAATCTTCAAGGTCAAAATGTGAAAAGTTCATAGTGCATGGATTCCATGTTCGCATGTTTGTTCACATGTAGTGCGCATTTTTGTGAGTTTGTGTGCGCCTTCCTCGGGGGACGAGTGAGCCAGAGATCGCCCCGCTCGTCCTCTTTCCCACAGTCTCGAGCTTTCTCACTAAGCAGTGTGTGTGCGTGCGTGTGTTTGCATGTTTGTGTAGAAAGCGGGACAGCCAGTTCAGCTGCTGGAGCCACTTGTGTGTGTGTTACATTACAAAGACATTAGACAAAGACTAAGGACAGTAACATTTCCATGTGTAAGGCTCGCTGCCACCCGTGTTTGCCGCTGGAAGAGGCGAGAGACAAAGACTCACAATAAAGTACTCAGGGGGCGTGTCCAGACAACAGCACTCATCTATACATTACAAAGCAGCTTAAAGGCCCTCGGACCACCTCCTGTGAGTGTGTGTGTGTGTTTAGTGTTAATATTCAGAGTGTGTCTCCATGTTAATGTCCCACCTGCATACCCGTGGAGTCACAGCTGCATTAAATTACCACCACTGTAAATGCCACATTATGGTTTTTGCCCCCTCTCTACGCCTCGCCCCCGGGTGCTCTCATGCCAAACTTGGTACGAATATCTCCAATATGCACGTAAAACAATTACAAGTGTGTCGTAAAATTGTAAGTTCAAACGCAGCTGCAGCTGAGCCATAAACTCAGTCTAAACATAGTATTTTCACCGCTGTTTATTAAGTCGATAAAATGCAGTAACGTCTTCGATGAAAAATCGTGTTTTATTTAAGTAGCAGTTTGAAAGCAAAAAACTAAAACGTATTTCCTCCTGAAAGATGACAGAACAGATCAGCTAACTGACTCCAGTCGGAACGAAATGCTTCAAGACAAACACGCTTCTTACTCTTTGAAAGCTTTAGTAAATGTGCAGACTATTAAGTAATATCACTTATTATATGATTCATTTGATTTAGAGTTATAAGAATACCTTTAAATTATGACTTGACTTTCTTCTTTGAGTACTTACTTAAATATCTGAGTACTTCTCAAACTTTTAAAACCTTTAAAAACTGATGTAACACTTTCAAAATTCTGCGTACAGTAACGGGTCGCTGGATAAAATCAGGACAGATAATTAGAATCATAAATCAGTGACAAAATAAAATCCATTGTGAGGAAAATCAAACTAGAATAAAACGCTACTTCAGTGTTTGCCAAGGGAAATTCTTGACTGGTCTCTGTGGTTAAATGAATTTATATCAATGACAGTCACAGTTCCAAACACAAAACTGCAACATATTTTATGTAATTTCAGAAAATGTAACAAAAAATGATCACAGAATTTAAAAAAATGTTTTTTGTCATTTGCTTTAAAAGAAATCTATTTTGAAAACCATCCACGGACGGGTTAAGAGATGGAAAAACCAGATGAAATTTCCAGTTTTTGCTAATCCTGTTAATTAAATATCAGACAAATCCAGACAGCATGCAGATCACTGATGCAGAAATCCCATAAATCCAACAAACCCATAAAACAAATCTGTTCATTAGTTTTCATGGATGAAAAATAAAAGAAATAAAATAGAACAGAGTAAAAAGGTGGCTAGCAATATATATATAAAAAAACACGACTGCACAAGAACACACTGAACTGCAGACACAACTTCTAGCACATAAATTGGACTACTGACCTTAGCACTGTTCTGCAGAGCCGGTTAAACTTTAAAGATCCTGTGACTTGAGCTGTTCAGCTTGTCTGTGCTCCCTGGTGCATCTGCAGGGATGAGCTCCCGCTGCACGAGTGGGCGTATCTAAAGAATGGCATTTTCCAACCATCCTGCCTCTCTGCCTGTCCTTCCCCA